GAATTGTGCTACTAACCTAAAGGCACGTGGTTTGAATCCACTGGCTGCTCTGTGGGAGAAAGATGGGCATTCTCCTCCTATGTGATTTACAGCTTGAGGGTCAGCTCTGAGTTGGCTATGACTCGATTGTACACAACAATAACAACATACCCTCTAGGAAGGAGTGCTGGTGGTGTAGGGTCTTACACGTGCTGCTAGTTGGCCAGTGGTTTGAATTTACCAGCTGCTCCATAAGAGAGATGGGCTTCCTTGTCCGCCAAGATTTGCAGCCTTTTAAACCCAATGGAGGGTCACTGTGAGTCGGAATTGACGTGTGAGTAGTGGGTTTGGTTTTGTTTATGTTCCTTAGGGAGCTCTGGTGGCCCAGGGTGTAGTGTTCTGAGCTACTGATGAAAAGGTTGACAGTTGGAATCCACCAACTGCTCCAAGGAAGAATAATGGGCTTCTCCTCCTGCCAGGATTTACAATCTTGCAAAGCCAGTGGAGGGCCACAGTGGGCTGAAATTCAGTTAACAGCACTGGGCTTGGGGCGCTCCTTAGAAGTGAGAATGATGAGACTTTGTCTTGTGTATTTGAGGCGTGTTCTAAGGAGGGGCCAGTTCCTGGAAGAGGACATCATACTTGATAAAGCAGAAGGTCAGCCAAAAGAGCAATGGCCTTTCTTCAGTGTGATGGATTGACACAATAATGGCAACAGTGGCCTCCAGGAGAGGAGTGAATGTAAGGAGCATACAGGACTGGGCAGTGTTGCATTCCGTGGTACACAGGGTCACCATGAGTTGGGGGGTTCAGTCCTGACAGCATCTAACAACATTAGAATCTGCTTGGTGCAGCAGTTAAACACTTGGATACTAAATGAAAGGTTGGTGGTTCGAACCCACTCAGCAGCTCTGTAAGAGGGAGACCCGGCAGTCTGCTATTGTAAAGATTATACCCTTGGAAACCCTGTGGGACAGTTATATGCTGTCCTCCAGGGTCTCTATGAGTTGAAAAGACTCATAGAGGACCGGAAGTCACTCCGTCTATGAGTAAGGCTGTAATATCGGTACAGATAGTCTGTTTCCACTACTCATCTGTCTTTATTTGTCTTACAGGCCTGCATGCTGTCATGACACTGGAAGCCATGCCATTTGTATTTCAAATACCAGCAGGCTCTCCCATTGTGGATAAGTTTCAGCCAAGTTGATCGACTAAGACAAATGAAGAAGAAAGGCGTGTGATCTACTTCTGAAAATTAGCCAATAAAACCCTGATGGATCACAATAGAATATTGTCTCCTATGGCACTGGAAGGTGAGTCCCCCAGAGTGCGAGGCTCTCAGAATACACAGTAGCCACCCAACGTGGCAAGTCAGTGAGCGTGGATATGGGGCAGCATTGGGCAGGGCTCGAATCAGAGCTGATTGTCAGTGAGAAGAAGAAGCAGTAAAATATGTTAGAAAGAGCATGAAGTCCAGTCCTTCCTCCTCACTTTTGACCCCTCAAGTGGTCATTCATTTTGTCCTTGAATGCTGTCAGTGACCAGGCTTATTTCCCGAGTAGCCCCTTGGAATTTTTGAGACTCTTATAAAAAACTCTCAGCTTAATTTGCAGCTGGCTGTTCCCTGCTTCTCCCTCTGTGGAGTCTGGCCCTAACCTCCTGTGGCCACGCCACTAGATTACCCTGACAGGCCCTGGCTCACCTGACAAGCACATGTACCTGTGTAGTATACCTGGGTACAGCATAGTCGTATGGAGGCCTCCACATTAGGACGTGGTGGGACACAGCATGCGGATCTTACACTCTATGTGACATAATCATCCTAGAATGTTCCATGGCCATTGTTTCTGAGCGTCCAATGCAGTTGTCTGTTGGGTGTCAAATCTGCAACCTGGACAGAAGAGCAGAGCCCTGTGAGGGCAGCCCTAAGTGGAGGCTGACCATCACGTTGTCTGGAGCGCTTGTCCTCCATGACTCTTTCTTGGCACTCCCACCCACTACTCCTCTCTAGACCCTCTTGCATAAAGTCTCAGAAGGGAGTCCATGCAGCTCCCTACTTTGAGGACCCCTCCTCCTCCTCCTCCCACCATCACCCATCAGGCACGAGCACACGCTCCATGAAGCGGAGGCAGGAGGTGAGACTGAAAACGCTGCTATTTTCACTCTGACATTTTCGGTTTGTGAGCAATCTCTCTTGATGCTCAATCTCATGATTACCATCCTTTGAAGGGAAGGAGCTAAAGGCCCCTCCACCCAGCCATTCCTTTCTAAATCCAAGAACAGGAGAAATTGCCCAGCAATAAAACTCAAGCAAACATCAGAAGCACCTTGAAGGAAGGCCTAGAAGAAGCCCTACGCCCTTGTAGGTCTCCCAGGAGATAGAGCAGAACCAGGGTGGCGAGCTCTCTCTGACTTGGCTTCTCCAGGGTCGTCAGGGCTAATGGTGAGATCTCCCGGCTCTAGTCTAGCAAGAGGCTGCCCTGAGGAGGGAGGCTTGTGTGGGGAGACCTCAATGTGGGAAACTTTAGTTAGGAGGTTGACATTTTATTGGAAGGGTAGAGCAATTTCCACTCCTGGAGACATTAGAAGGCCCATCAAACTCTATCACTGTTTTACAGTTTGGAAATACAATATAGATTTTTATTGTGAGGTTTGGTGTCTTCCTTTAAAGAACTGCTCAGCTTGATAAAGCAGACAAGTCAGTAAAAACAGGCTCGTGGAAGAGCTAGGTAGGCCCCAGGGTCTGCACAGGGGGCTGTCTGAGAAGAGGTGGCTTCCTGCTCTGAGGTGAAAAATGAGGACCACACAGGTGACAGCAGGGGTGGAGTGGGGGTTATATTTCCAAGCAATTGTTCAGGATCTACGATGGGGGCTTGGAGGGTCCCACCATCTTTTTTTTTTCCATTCTTGGGAAAATCCTCTATGTAGAAATAAAAATTTACTATTGTTGAGTCAGTTCCAACTGACAGTGACCCTATAGAACAGAGTAGACCAGCCTCCCACCCCCCCAGCCCTCCCCACCAGGGTTCCCAAGGCTGTAAGTCTTTACTCAAGGAGTCTGCCATGTGTTTCTCCTAGGGAGGCCCCCGGTAACATGCCCAGAGCATTTGGATCAAAGTCTCACCATTCTTGCTTCTAAGCGCACCCCAGATGCACTTCTTCCAAGTTGGATCTGTCTGTTCTCTTGGTGGAAGAAAGTATGAACTATTCCTCACCAACACTGCTATTCAAAGGTATGAATTCTTCTTCAGTCCCCCTTCCTCAGTGTCCACCTTTCACAGTTTCAATTGCAGAGGAAGCGATTGAAAATACCTTGACTCAGATCAGGTATACCTAAGTCTTGCTACTGTTGTGTGCGTATCATGAAATGACCATAAAACACTATGAGAAGGCAAATTCACAAATATGGAATCCAGGAATAAGGACTGAAGTGTGGTTGGCTGAACCCAAGAGGGTTCCCAAGATTCCAGAGTCTTAGTGTGCTTGTGCCTTTTTGCAAGTATTCAATCCCACACTCTTCTAGGTGCAATATAAGTGAAGTCCCAAGTCAATTATCTTTAAGAAAGAAAAATTACTCTCCATGAGCTTAATCTGAGAAAGATTACCCTCCATAAACTTAATCTGACTAGATGGGTCTTTCAAGGGACAGGGTTTCTCTTGGTGGGAGAGGTTTGAAGCTTTAGGGATTTTAAATGAATGAGAAATTCTGTTTCTGCCTTGACCAGGGTCTGAGAGTAGCTTGTAGAAGCAGGGAGCATCCCCTTTTGTCAGTGATGACCTGGATTCTGCCAACAGCCATATGCATCTGAAAAAGGGCCCTGAAGTCCAGGAAAGGAAGCATTGTGACTGATGTGTTGATTGTAGTCTGAGAGACACTGACCTAGGATCACTGAACTCTGTACAGACTCTGGCTTGTTGAAATGGTGAGATAATAATTGGGTGCTACGTTAAATCAGTACGTTTGTGGTAATTTGTTCTGCAGCTTGTCTTAAGTGATCTACTGCTGTATTTTTTTTTTAATAATTTAGGAGGCTTAGAGTCCAAATTCAGGATGCCAGTTCTATCGTTGTTGTTAGGTGCCATTGAATCCACTGCAAGTGTAGTGATCCTACGGACAGTGGATCAGAGCCCTGCCCTATCCGCATCACCTCTGCTTTACTTGAGCCCGTTCTTAACAGTCACTGTGTCAATTATCTTGTTGAGGATCTTCCGCTCTTACAGTGACCCTCCACCTGTCCAACAGGGTGTCCTTTTCAAGGACTTGTCCCTCCTAATGGCATGCCCAAAAAATATGAATTGAAGTTCCATCATTCTTGTCTCTACAAAAGCACCCTGGTTGCACGTTCTCCAAGGCATATTTATTTCTTTTACCAACCCATGGGGCATTCAGTATTCTTCTCCAACACTGCTAGTCAAAGGCATTGATTTCTCTTCTGTTTTCCTTATGCATTATCCAACTCTTAGATGCATAGCCAGTAATTGAAAAGGCTATGACTTGTATCAGGCAACTGACATTGTTGCTCTTTGACATTTTGGAGAAGTTCTTCACAGCTGATTTCCCCAATGCAACATATCTTTTGATTTCTTGACTGCTCTTCCCAAGGGTGTTGATTATGAATCCAAGTGAGATGAATCACTGATGTTTTCAATCTTTCCTCGGCCTATCATGATGTTGTCTTTTGGTCCAGAGGTGAGGAGTTTTGTTTTTCCGATGTTGAGATGTAAACTATATTGAAGGATGTAGGTATGTAGTCTTCAATCTTCCACAACAAGCATTTTAAGCCCTCTTCACTTTCAGCAATCAAGATTGTATCATCTGCATAATTCAGGTTCATGAGTTTTCCTCTGATGCAGATGCTACATTTTTCTTCATAAAGTCCAACTTTTCAAATGATTTGTTCAGCATATAGATTGAATAGATATAGAGAAAGGATATGTCCCTGATATACACCTTTCTTTATTTTTTTTTTTTTTGCTCTTTACATTTTATTTATGACAAACAGCACCCCCAGGCCTCGCCATCAGAAGTTCTTGGACACGATGCCGTCTGACTTGGCCAGTCGGAGAATGGAATCATCAGACTCACCCATGCGCCGGATGGCCCCGCAGATGGCGTAGGTCTTAAACTGGCTGTTGAACCTGCCTGTAACCTTGTCAACCTCGGCCACGTTCATCTGGATGGACGCGTGGTCCTTAGCGCCGATGATGCGGTTGCTGGCGGAGCATTTCCGCGGCACGTACAGGTCCACGAACTCGCCGGCGTCGTTCTGCTTGTTGCGGCCGCCTGAGGACAGACACGACGTCGAGCGCAGAGAGAGAGAGAGACCTTTCTTTATTTTAAAATGCATAGTGTTCCCTTGGCAGAAGGGAGGAGCTGGGACACCACACGTGTAGCAGAGTCTCTCAGAGGGCACCACACCACGCAGGTATGAATAACTACAAATCCCAGAAGCTCATGGGTCAAGCACACCTTCAGATCTTAGAACAAAGCACACAGAGTGGGGCAGAAGGGAGGAGCTGGGACATTTTGGACAACAGCTTCTTGGTCTGTATATAGGTTTTGCTCTGGAATTCCCATTCTTCTCAAAGTTAGTAATAGATGTGTGTGTGTGTGTGTGTGTGTGTGTGTGTGTGTGAGATCCACACAGTCAAATGCCTTTGCATAGTCAATAAAACACAAATAGACATTCTTCTTGTATTCTCTGCTTCCAGCTAAGATCTATTTGACATTGGCAATGATATCCCCTGTGCCATGACCACTTCTAAATCCCACCTGATTTCTTGTAGATATCTGTCTATGTATTGTTCTAGCTATTTTGGAATAATCTTTAGTAAGATTTAGCTTGCATGTGATGTAAATGATATTGTTTTGTAATTTCCACATGCTTTGGAATCACCATTTTTTTTGGAAATGGGAACTGTAAAAAGAGCAGGAGCCACGTGGGGATGGACATGGCTGATCTTTACCAACTTTACAAAGGGGACCTGTCCCATCAGCAGCATCAATAACACAAAATAAATTCTGATGAGGTCAGGCATGTGACTCCCCTTCTCTCCCCCATTTCTCTTTTTATTCATCTCAACACCAATTTTACTTCTATGCTGGGTTCAAAATCTCCTACCACATAAAGCCATATTGGAGAAGTCAAAAGGTTATAATCCAGATTAATCCAAAAATGTGTACACAGGCACCTCAGCCTCGAGCCTCCCTGGCTTTAGGCCAGCATTCTCAAGTTCTCAGTCCTGCCAATGTTGGCTTCCCACCTGCAATTGTCCAACAAAGTTCTCAGTCTTGCCAATATTGGCTCTCCACTTCTCCTGCCAAGGCCATGTCAGATCTCCAATTTGGCCATGGGTGTTGCTACTGTAGGTATAACTGGAGCAACAAAGGCATCCTACATCCTCTTCCTTCTTGTTGAATGGCACAAGAAGATCCATCTATCTCTTGTTTTGGCTTGCTCAAATCAATGGTGAGACTAGCCAATCCCCTTGTAGATTATTGAGACTGGCCAAGCCCCTCGTAGATAGGCTAACACACCTAATTTGCATATTTCCACCCATCTACTAGCAAAGTAAAACAATAGCTAGGAAAAGTCATGTTGTTGTTGTTGTTATGTACTATTGAGTTGCTTGCAACTAATAGTGGCCCTATGTACAACCTGAGCCAATATCACCATCTCTGACACACCTACCCCATTAACTCCAGTTACTGTGTCAATCCATCTCATCTGGTGTCTTCCTCTTCTGCACTGTCCCTCCACTTTTCCAACCATGATGTCCTTCTCCAAGGACTACTTCCTCCTGGCCACATGCCCAAAATATGTGAGACAGAGTTTCAAAATCTTTGCCTCCAAGGAGCATCCTGGTTTCATCCTCTCCAAGACAAATTTGTTTGTTCTCCAGCACCACAACTCAAAGGCATCAATTCTTCTTCTGTCATCTTTAGTCATTGTCCAGCTCTCTGATGAATATCAAGTAATTGTGAAGACCATGAATTGGATCAGGTGCACATTAGTATCTAGACTAACATTGTTGCTCGTCAGTACTCTGGAGAGGAACCTGATAGCAGATTTTCCCAAAGTAATTTGTCTTTTGAGTGTTGATTTTTGGAGTCAAGCAAGCTGAAGCTGTTAACAGTCTTGATTTCTTCACCATCTACCATGAAGCTACTAATTGGCCCAGTGATGAGAATTTTTGTTTTCTTGATATTGAGCTTCAATTCATATTGAAGGTTGTAGTCCTTGACTTCTGTAGCAAATATTTCAGGTCCTCTTTGGTTTCAGGGAGCAAGGTTGTGTCATCTGCATAATGCAGCTTGTTGATGAGTCTTCCTCCAATCCTAATGCCACATTCCACCTAATGAAGTCCAGCCTTCCAAATGATCTGTTCTGCATATAGATTGAAAAAATGTGGAGACAGGATGCATCCCTGACATATACATTTTCTGATTTTGAACCATGCAGTCTTTCCCTGCTGTGATCTGATGACTACTGCTTCCTTAAGCACAATTAAGTGTTCTGAGATTCCCTTTTTTCTCAAGGTTAACCAAATTTGTTATCAATGAAACACAAATAGACATTCCTATGGCACTCTCTGCTTTTAGCTCAGAGCCATCTGACATTGGCTATAAAGTCCCTAGTGCCATGGCCTCTTCTAAACTCTGCTTGCATACTTGGCCATTCTTTTTCCATGTACTGTTCCAATCTTTTGGGGATAATCTTCAGTACGATTTTGTTTGTGTGTGATATTAGTGATATTGTTCAATCATTTCCACACTCTGTCACCATTTTTCTGAATGGCAATAAATATGAATTTCTTCCAGTCAGCTGGCCAGGTAGCTATCCTTCAGATTTTTTGATGAGTATGTCCAGGGCAGCATCTGTTTGCTAAAATGTGTCAGTTGGTATTCCATCAATTCCCAGGGTCCTGTTTTTTGCCAATTCCTTCACATACTGTTTCATGAAATTCTTCTGTGTCCACCAATTTTTAAAAAATTATTAGTATTAATGTTAATGAATGTTTACAGAGACTTTGGATTTCCATTCATTCATTGTTGCATTTTTCACCACTTCTTTTTGATACAGTGACTCTGTGTACTCCTCCCATCTTCTTTTTATGACTCATGGATCATTCAGTACTCTACCCATAGCATCTTTAATTATTGCAACTTGAGGCTTGGATTTGTTTTTCAGTACCTTCAGCTTAAGAGATGCCAAGTGAGTTTGTTTCTTTTAATTCTCTGACTTCAGCTCTTTGAACATTTTGTTATACTTTGCTTTGTCTTCTTGTGCTGTCCTTTGAGATCTTCTGTTCAGCTTCTTAACTTCCTGATTTCTTCCCTTTGCTTTGGCTTCCCAGTGCTCTAGTGTGATAGTCAGACTCTCGACTGACATCCTTCTCAGTCTTTTCTTCCTCTTCTGTCTTTGTAATGACCTTTTGCATTCATCATGGATGATATTCTTGATATCCTCCAACAGCTCATCTGGTCTTCATTTGTTGGTGTCCAAGGCCTCAAACCTGTTCATGAGATGGTTTTAAAGTTCAGGTGTCATAGACTCAAGGTCAAATATGGGTTCTGTAGATTTGATTTGCTATTCTTTAGCTTCTGTTTGAACTTGCATATGAGCATCTGATGGTCTATTCCACAATCAGCACCTGGCCTAGTTTTCTTAGCTGATATTGAGCTTCTCCAATAATTCTTTCTACTGATATAATCTCCCTGATCCCTTTGAAGACCATCAGATGAGGTCCATGTGTGTAGCTGTTCTTTATGTTTCTTAGAAAAGGTATTTGCAATGAAAAAGTCATTGATGGTACAAGATTTTATCATTCTAATTCCAGCCTCATTCCTGTAATTAAGACTGTGTTTTGCAATTACTGATCCTTCTTACCTATTTCCAACATTTGCATTCCAGTCACTTATTATTGTTAATGCATCTTGGTTGCACGTTCGATCAATTTCCAACTGCATAACTTGGTAGAAATCTTCTATTTCCTCCTTTTTTGGCTCTGGTTATTGGTGCACTTATTGAATGTTAGTGGTATTAACAGATCTTCCTTGTATGTGTATGGATGTTATCCTGTTGCTTACAACATGCTATTTCTGGATGGATTTAGAAATGGTTGTTTTTGGCTATAAATGCAACCTCGTTTTCTTCATCTTTTATTTTCCATTTTCAGCATAGTAGATCAAATGATTAATTGATTCAAAATGTCTCAAGCCAATTCATCTCAGTTCACTAATGCCCAGTATGCCAATATTTATGTGTTCCATTTCTTCCTTAACAATGCCCAATTTTCCTACATTGATAATTTTCACTCTCTGCATTCCAATCACTAGTGTCTGCTTGCTTCTGTTCCTCCTCCTCTGTTTCCCAATACAAGGCCTCGGCCCTATTTGCTAGTCTCATCTAAGCATCCTCTATTGGACATAGGGTATTCATAGACTGTTATTTCAGAAGTGGATTGCCAATCCAACATAAATTCCATCTTTTGGCAACTGTTCACTGAGTTTCCAAGACTAAATCTTGGAGGAGCTGACTTATCTTTCTCCAGCAGAGCAGCTAGTGGATTTCAGCTTGTGACCTTCTGATCAAAAGTTCAACTTGCCACAAACTATATTACCAGGGCTTCTTGTATAGGGGTTAAAATTCGCAACAGATTTTCTTTTTTATGATTTTAATGAAATCCATAACACTATCATCTATTTCCTTCAATTATAATGTAAGCATCAGGGAAGCAAATATTTTTTTATTTTATTTGCTGCTGTATCCTCAGTGCCTGAAGCTCTAAATAGTAGGTGCTCAATACACATTAACGGAAGGATTGAATGGGAGTAGCTCCGGGCACCAGCACAGCCTTAGCCTCCAGGTACTTCTTGCCCTTCATGGAAGCACAGCTGGCCGTCAGTCAGATGGGCCGTGAGAATGGTAGGAGCAGTGGCTCCTTGGATGCGAATCCAGACCAGCTGTGATCTGTGTTTTCACAGCTACGACAGCACTGTCCACTCTGAGAGGGACATTTTTTGTGATATTAGGGCACACTCTGGATAATTAAAGCCTGGTCCCATCTCCCACCATGCACTCAGTGAGGTTGCTCCCGAAGCCTGGTCACCTCGTGATTGCCCTGTGCTGGGAAGGAAGCAACTTGAACATCTACCTGTCTAAGTAATTAACCGATTAAAGTGAAAGAGATAAATCCCAGTGCCAAGGTGAGGCATGGGGAGGGAATCTCTGTTATCTTTCTTTCATTTCAATTTAAAAGTCCATGTCACTGTTGCTTTACCGTTTCAAAAATAATGAGCCCTTTGGCTGCCGGTTCCTCCAAGCATTTGCTGTGTTGAACCTGCTGCCTCAGCAGCTGTGGGGTGGGACTGGGGATGTTGTCCTCTGGATTTGGTGGGTCAGGGCCTGGAGGGAACATGGGTAGGAGACTCTGACCCTTTTCCTCAACATCTCCATATTTCCCCCTAGATTCTCATGCCCCAAGTAGACAAGATGGAGCTTTGACACCCAGAACCTCATGATGTTAGAAATCAGAAAGGGTGAGAAACTTGCCTGAAGTCATACAGCAAGTTAAAGGCAGAGCCAGGAATGGAACTGCTCTTTCTACCATGGTAACTGCACAAGTGAGCATGAAACTGTGGTTCTTACTTCTTACTGCAGAAGAGCAAAGACTACAGCCTTCACTATGGATTGCATCTCAACATCAGGGAAACAGAAATCCCAGCACTGGGCCAATAGGCACCATCATGATAGATGGAGAAAAGATTGAAATTGTTAACAGTTTCATCTTACTTGGATCCACAATCAATATCCTTAGTTGCAGCAGTCAGGAGATCAGGAGACGTAGAGCACTGGAAAGGTCTGCTATCAGGGGCCACTCCAAAGTCTCGATGAGCAATGAAGTCAATTTGAAGACTAAGGTGTGCCTGGTCTTTCCTATCACATGCTGTACATCTGAGAGCTGGACCATGAATAAGAGTGATGGGAAAAGAGTTGATGCCTTTGACTTGTGGTGTTGGAGAAGAGTACTGAACTTTCCATAGACTACAAAAAATGCCAAACAGGTATGTCTTGGTGAAAGTGCAACCAGCATGCTCCTTAGAGGCAAGGATGGCAAAGCCTGGTGTCACA